TAAGATGATTTAAAAGAGAGGTTTGAAGGGCAGGGAGTGGGTGGGTGTTTGGTGGCGTTGCACTTACTCTGACACATTGATCCAACGCAGACTGAAGCAACAGCAGTGTGTGGTGGAGGAGGAGGAGGAGGAGAGGGAGGGAGGGAGGGAGGAAGGGCTTTTATTATCCATTTAAAAAAATAAAAGGGGAAAAAAAAGCTCTCGAGGTACCGCCTTCTTTTTTTTAAAAAAAAAGGCGAGTTTGGCGAAGAAGCCAAAGGACGTGTGTCTGAGAGTAAGTCAGGAGCTGCAGTGAGGCTGGAGTTTGTGTCGCTTTGGGAGGTAGTCACCCCCTCTCTCTCTCTCTCTCTCCCCTCAGCAATACTCTCCCTCTCTCTCCCCTCAGCAATACTCTCCCTCTCTCTCTCTCTCTCCTCAGCAATACTCTCCCTCCTCTCCTCCTCTCTCTCTCTCTCCTCAGCAATACTCTCCTCTCTCTCTCTCTCCTCAGCAATACTCTCCTCTCTCTCTCTCCCCTCAGCAATACTCTCCCTCTCTCTCTCTCCCCTCAGCAATACTCTCCCTCTCTCTCTCCCCTCAGCAATACTCTCCCTCTCTCCCCCTCTCTCCCCCTCTCTCTCCCCTCAGCAATACTCTCCCTCTCTCCCCCTCCCCTCAGCAATACTCTCCCTCTCTCTCTCCCCTCAGCAATACTCTCCCTCTCCCCCTCTCTCCCTCCTCTCCCTCAGCAATACTCCTCCCCCCCCCACTCCCCCCCTCTCTCTCCCATCCTCACCCAGAGCTCCAGCAGCAGTGTGTGTGTGTGTGTTGTGTCTCTCTCTCTCTCTCTCTCATGGAGTTTCTCTGTCGCCTCCACAGGGCGACATTGAAGTGAGCAGCGAGACGGTGTTCGAGTTGGGCGCCTACATACTGCAGGTTGGTCTTCGCATTTGATAGCAAGTCCTGTCCTGTGTGTGTACTATATATATATATATGTGTGTGTGTTTATAATGTAATATAATATAGTGTTGTGTTTTGCTAATCTCCGCTGCAATGTGCAAAACCACCCGCTTTTGTTTGAAACCAACCGAAGGAGATGAAACTTTCTCCTCTTGTTGCTGCGGTTTTCTTTTTGCTCGAATCCCCTCTCTCTCTCTCTCTCTCGTTCGCTGTCTTGACAGAGATGGCTATTTTTTTTTGCCTGCACTCCCCCCCACACACTCCCCCACACACTCCCCTTCTCTCCCCCACACACACTCCCCCTCCTCTCCCCCCCCACACACTCCCCTCCTCTCTCTGTCCCCCCCCCACACACTCCCCTCCTCTCTCTGTCACCCCCCCACACACTCCCCTCTCTCCCCCCCACACACTCCCCTTCTCTCCTCTCCCCCCCACACACTCCCCTTCTCTCTCTCCCCCCACACACTCCCCTTCTCTCCTCCCCACACACTCCCCTTCTCTCCTCTCCCCCCCCACACACACACTCCCCTTCTCTCCTCCCCCACACTCCCCTCCTCTCCCCCCCCACACACTCCCCTTCTCTCCTCCCCACACACACTCCCCTTCTCTCCTCTCCCCCCCCCCACACACTCCCCTTCTCTCCTCTCCTCCCCCCCCACACACACTCCCCTTCTCTCCCCCCCCACACACTCCCTTCTCTCCTCTCCCCCCCCACACACTCCCTTCTCTCCTCTCCCCCCCACACACTCCCCTTCTCTCCCCCCCCACACACTCCCCTTCTCTCCCCCCCACACACTCCCCTTCTCTCCTCCCCACACACACTCCCTTCTCCTCTCCCCCCCACACACTCCCCTTCTCTCCTCCCCCCCACACACTCCCTTCTCTCCCCCCACACACTCCCCTTCTCTCCTCTCCTCCCCTCCCACACACACTCCCTTCTCTCCTCTCCCCCCCCACACACTCCCCTTCTCTCCTCCCCCCCCACACACTCCCTTCTCTCCTCTCCCCCCCCACACACTCCCCTTCTCTCCTCCCCCCCACACACTCCCCTCCTCTCCCCCCCCCACACACTCCCCTTCTCTCCTCCCCCACACACACTCCCCCTCTCTCTCTCCCCCCACACACTCCCCTTCCTCTCTCCCCCCCACACACTCCCCTTCTCTCCTCCCCCCACACACTCCCCTCCTCTCCTCCCCCCCACCACACACTCCCCTCCTCTCCCCCCCCCACACACTCCCCTCCTCTCCTCTCCCCCCCACACACTGCCCTTCTCTCCCCCCCACACACACTCCCCTTCTCTCTCCCCTCTCACACTTCTCTTCTCTCTGGTGGTAAATATAGGACATTTGTCTCTGTGCTTTTACAGATTGGTAGCCACATGAATGCACATGTTTCTATTCTTTTTGCTCTGCTATTAAGAGTTAGTGAGCTGTATGCATGCATGGTGGAAGAGAAAAGGTTTGGTGGGGGACTATACAAGAAAATCAGCTTGCAAAGCCGTCAATGTCTGTATATCAGCAGTGAGCAATAGTGGATTGAGCAGCTGACCATTTAGCAGTGAAATGTTATGTGATGTGATGAAACCTAAACCAGGATAGGGATGCAAATAAGCAATTTTTTTTCCCCCTCTTAAATGCTGACACACTTTACTTTTATTAAGATGTCATAAGTCCCGGGGTAAAAGCACATCATAGGATCATCGTTGTGTTGTCTGTGTGCGATGTGACAGCACATCTTCCAGGTAATGCTGCTGCTAGTGTGAATTACTGCAGTGACGTGTGTTCATCCATTTTATAATGAGCCTTTTGTGTTGGTTCAGTGCCCAAGAGGATGTTGTCTCGAGAGGAAAACTGTAATACACCAGTGATTAGTTTCCTACATTTCAACCAAATATTGCACATTTACTACAAGAAATTCAGTGCAATACAATTTACATTTATACAGTACTTTTCCCATCAGGAGGAGTCCCAAAGCACAAATATCTATATTTATATGAGAAAGGATGAATGAATATGAACACTTATCTCTGAATTAGTTGGTTTAGGAAACCCCAAAGTTTGAGAGACTCCTCACCTCGGGCAAGTTTCCTTTCTCCACACACCTAATAATAAACCCTCCAAAATAAAACAATAATAAATTGGTCATTTTCAATCCACGACTATTTGTGGGACATTGCTGTGCGCAATTGGCTGCCGCGTTCGCCCACAAATATACAGTTAATTCACTTTACAGTGGAGCGCTTTGGGACGTCCTCCCGACGTGAAAAGCACTATATCAAATGCAAGGATTATTATTATTCTGTGAAGCACTTTGACATGTCGAGAAGATGTGAAAAGCGCTATATCAAATGCAAGGATTATTATTACATATTCTAAATAATCTGACAGTTTATCACATAGAATTGTACAAAATATACACTGCCAAAACAGCCCATTTGGCCCAACTAGTTTGTCCAGTGTTAATACTCTAATGAGCCCTCATACATTCAAATCACCTACTTTCCTATCTTCCCTCTCGTCTTTTCTACTTCATTCTATAATACATTTTCCAACAATATAGTAACAATGATACAGTCAATATTTGGCAACTATATCTGGAAATGGATCACGTGATGTCGTCAACAATAGCAACGTATTAATGCAATTTGTAGTTATTGTGTTTCACACAGGAATGTTACGAACAAGTGCTTAAAAATAACTTCTACTGTAGTAGTACATTGCATGGTTTACAATCGGTGATTTGGAAGCTGGGGAGGAGAAGAAAGAGCTCATTCTTAGTAGAGCATTCACAACATCAATGAATTCTGCCCTCGTTCAGTTAGTTGCAGCACAATCTAAATGGGTCGGACAGCATGTGGTGTAAAGACAACATTGATGCTGTTTGTAAATAGGTAAAGCTTGCGAGAAATTCTTTTTGAACACTGTTGGGCCATTTTAAAGCAAAGGTTTAGGTTTCTGTGTCAGTGCTGACCCCCTGGGATACTGTGTATGCAACGGGGATTTGCACTTTATCTCAGTTTGCAGGAAGCCCCCGTTGGTAGAGGTAGTTAGTTCCACATGTTCATCAAACGTTTGGTGACTGCTGAGCCAAGTATGATCATATTGGACAACTTATCACTGTTCTATTCAAAGTAGTTTGTTGCAGTTACTTCTAAGCTTGTATTTTTTTTAAAAAAGTGAAACCTATTCCTCAAGGATAGAGTTTTAAGAGATCTTTCCTGGAAACGTGCGATTACCGTGGGATTATGCAACGTCTAATTTGTATTTCTAGAGCACTGACCAGATCATTCAAACAGCAATGACATTAACTTTATAGAGCATGATCACTTCTTTCTAAAAGTGGATTCATAGTTCATGGGTGTAGCAAAGCTGGAACTTTTTTTAAAAAGCAAAATGACAGACAGTACTGTACATGCAACGTGGTCACCTCGAGGTGGGAGAGTTTGAATGCAGCCAGAAAAAACAGAAATTGGTCAGAACATGAGCTTCAAGGAATGTTTCCATAAAGATCTAAGAGAATAAACAAAGTCTTGTGCGTTGACAATTAAAAGTGACAGGCACATTTTTGAACATGTGAATGATAGTTAAAAATACCTTTTTGTCTTCTTTTAGACAGAAAGCAGCACTTAACTTTGGCATGAAATGTTTTAAATGCCATCCCACCCTCTCTCACTCTCTCTCTCTCTCTCTCAATGTTCAATGGGAAGTTCACATTGTGAACATTGAACCACATAGCCCTAAAAGATCCCTGATTTAATACGTGGTCTGCAAAGTTTGTCTGTGGTCTCTGTGTTCTTGGATTGTGTGGGGGGGGGGGGGGGGGAGTGGAGAAAGAAATCAGTCAGGTTATAGCTCCTGTTCATATTCCAGTCATCTCTGCTGGCAATGCATGTGTTGCAGTTGTTGAGTGAGGACAGGGTCAGGCTCAGTTGTAATGACCTCCATGTCAAATAGTAATTTGATACCATGTCCAGGCTTGTATATGAAGAATGCCATTTGGGAGAGGTGCTGGAGAGCTGCTGTTGCCCATGGAACCGAACACCAGAGTGAATTGCTGAGAGTGGAAAGTGCAAGAAATAAGGAAGTCTCAAACCGATACAGTAGGGCTAGTTTTAGGCGTGTCTCTGTTTGTTCAGCTTGTGCAAGTTGTACCCAAATGATTTGTGTCCAGTTTTGAGTCAGCCTTAACAACAATAAGTTCCTTTAACGGGGCAGTGAATCACTTAGTCATTATCATCTTGGGTATAGGTCCCGTGTCCAGTTAAAAGAAAAGTTCCTTTGGAAGTGGAAGTGCAGCAGAAGGGGTAATAGTTGCTAAGAGCCAGAATAGTTTCAATACGAAGTACTGTATATCAAGTTATTATTGTACTCTTTCTCCCACCCCCATGTAGTTTTGGAAGGCGAGTGGAGATTGTCAACTCACTCACCATCAATTTATATAGAACTTTGCTTACGATTTTGCGAGGTGAGAAGTTGGGGGAAGTTTGTTTCCTCCTCTTGCGTGTTCTTGTTAACAAAAAGATTCTGCCTATGAGCTTTCTCCTTGGCTTCAAAGAGCTGGTGTGTGGTATGAATGCCACATTTTCCCTCTTATAGATGAAATGACCCAGAGAAACCTTTGCCATGTGCAACTATTTAGCAGTCAAATGAACACCACATGGTATAAAACCTGCTGAGCTGACACCTTTCCACACTTGGAGATCACTATGACGCAGAAGCACGCAGAGTTGGAAGACAGTGGGGAAATACCAGCGATAGAACTAGCAAGTGGCTGTGGAAGCCTTTTGCACTTATTTGGGCTGAGTTTAAAAACGGCAAAGCAATTTTCGAAATCGCATGAGCAGCTGGGAAGATCTATTTTAAAAAAATGTGATTGTATAGAAAGGTGATGAGCATATCCTTAGGAATGTGTGGGAGATCTGTATTTCTTTGCCCTCACCCTATCACAGTTTCATTGACAGCGTCAGCGTGTTTCTTGCCAAACCAGATTCAAAGCAACTTTGCTAACTATAATTCACCAGAGCATTCCCCAATAGTTGCATAATTCTTTCAAGCTCTCGGACTGCTACAGCGATTGTGATTTCAGAGTACAGTGGAATCTCGGTGTATGCGTTTGTTTGATATCCATAAATTCAGAGCCTCAATAGTGAGGCATGCACACAGCTGGCCAGTTCGCTTCCTGCTCGCCAATTGGTTCCCATTGCAGAAAAAAAAAAGAAAAACTATCTGACTTTCAGGTCGCTCCCAACATCCTTTCCTGTTTGTTGCACAAAGCAAGAAGTAACTCAGGAGGTGACTTTTTTTTAACAATAATAATCCTTGCATTTGATATGGGGCCTTGTCGCGTCATTGAGATGTTTCAAAGCGTTTCAGGAAATATACTGTAAAGTGAATTGATTGTATACTTTGCGGGCAAAAACTGGAAGTCGGGCATTTTAGCGCGGAAATGAGCTGGCCATCTGTGCCCATGCGCAATGAATGGGTCCACGCTAGAACAATATTGAAGCCATATGTGTACTATAAAGAAGTGTGTTATAATGGGCCTGTACTGTACTTGATCATAAACACAAGCTTTTTTTTAACATTCCTTTCACTTCAAGACACGGTTGGAGCTTGTATATGACGGGAAGGTCAATTTATTCATCCTATATATCATGTGATATTTCATAACGTCAAATTCAGTTCAAATAATTTGACATGGTTACTAAGTCATACTTAAAGCTGAAATGCCTTGCCCTTTACCTCTTTGCTAATGGCTACTTGTTCATATCTTCCAAGTCATACTGGTCCAATCCCAACTTATACTTTTTAACTGGCATTACAAATAATATTCAGGTGATCTACAGAGAAATATCGGTCTGATATTTGGCAATGTAAATGCAGTTTTTGCATTGTTTAAAAATGCTCTCCAGCCATAGGTGAAAGCAGAGTGACTGTATTCATGTTCGAACTTATCAAAGAATCATAAGAGTGTGTAGTTTATATGGAAACCAGGCACCATGAAACCATAAGTATTTCACTAAATATTTTGACAATATTGGGAACTCCCTGAGGTCTTTATGCTGGTTTCTGTTTTCTCCAAAAGGGTTAAGCTTTCACTGCCTTTAACAATAAACCAATTACTAATGGAGAGTACCTCTCTGAACAGTGAACTCGGCTGTCAGTTATCACTTATTTTGGGATTAAAAATGTAACTCATTTTGGATGCATCTTGCTCTGAAAATTTACCCTGCACTATATGTCTTGACAGGATATGTGATCATAAATCTCACATCTAGCCTCTTCCTCATGTTATCAAGCTACTTTCAAACTGAAACGAAAGACTTTTATTTGCTACAATGCATATTGACTTGGTATCAGTTGTGATATTGAGTTCTCTCACAACTGATCAGATAGAATAGCTTTACAATTACAATATAAAATGACATTTGTATAGCGACTTTCACATCGTGAGGGCATCCCAAGACACTGGACAGTCAGGGATTTGGACCAAAGATACAGAGTTCCAGAGAGGCTGAAGGCCCACCCGCCAATGGTGGGCGTTCAATGAGTCCTCTAGGATTAGTTTATAAAAATAGAGGATCATTTTATTATTTCAATTTTTAAAAAATACATTAGGCTTTTAAAATGGAACAAAACATTCATGGTGTTATTGACCCAGAAAGCATCATAGCTTTTCTTGTCTGCCTGTATTTATTGTATTATTCTTCCTGTATTAGAAAATAAGGAATTGATTAACCATTTATCTTTTCTTTTTAAATGTCCACTGAAATTATTCTCATCTCAAATAATTCAGCAAATTGCTGGAAAAATTGCACTAAACTACATTTAAACAGATCAGCAAAAGCTTTGTTCGTAGATACAGACATGATTTTCATGGTTGACATGGTGTTTGAAAATTACAAATAAACTTTGGTGACATTTTGAAGCCTTCATTTCCTGGCTGCACAAAAGCCAGATGAGTGAAATTGAGCATTATTATTTGTATTGTTACATACTTCTTTTAATTCCTCCAAGAGAAACTTGTGGGTTCTTCTCTCTCCTTCCGCATGCCAACCTCCTACCCTCCCCGTCTAAATTGCAAGAGAAAAGCTGAAAATTATGAAGCTTATCTCACTTCAAAACTGAAGTTGCTCTTCTGCTCAGTTTTCATCCAATTTTAATTAAATCTGTACCTGCTTGGATGCACAAGAAGATCTACAAATTAACCTGTCATAACACCCAAAGCCTTGGTGTGTATGTGTGTTCTCGATACTGCAAAACCTGTGCAAGGAGCTCTATAACTTCTAGTTCACTGGCACCTGCAGAACATTAATGTATGTTTATGTACTTTCCAGTGACGAAAGTGCAAGAGATGATCTAAAGAAACTCCCAGCTCTTCCTACACAAACATTGCAGGAACACCCATCACTTGCATATTGGTAAGTAACTCGGTCATAAAATCAGGTCGCCTCTGATCAAGTCACTTCTTGTGTACTGCACATGTGCAGAGGTGGTGGTGGACTAATGACCCAGAGGGCTGCCATTTTTAACACAGGATAAAAATGTGTAAACAAGGCAAGGTAGCCCAAATTTTTACAAAATTTACTTGAAGCTTCGCCAGTAAAATATTGAAAAATCAAGGTTTAAAAGAAAATCTTCTGTAATATACCCACTACATATATACTTGTCTCCGTGCCCATTTTGTGGATTAGGACAAAATGTATGTGGCACTAAATTAATATATTGTGTGAATCACGTTTATATTTTTAAGCACACTACCTCCTCTGATGGCAGTGGTGGTAATAGCTCATCAGTTTGGTGAACAGGTTCAAGTAGAAATTCACAATATTGAGGCAACAGTGGGAACTAGAGGAACTAATTATTTCAGTGCAGTCAGGGATATCCAGGATCACCAAACTGAGCTGTGTTGAAAATGTGGCTGAGATTATGTTGGCTATTCTTTTAGGTTTTCCAATAGGATTTATCTGTAATGTGTACCTCCAAATAATTGCCTCTTGTCATTGCAGGGATCTAGATGCCTGCTTAAAATGGTTTCCTACACACCAAATATCCTGCTTTTGGATTAATTATTGAATACAAACAGTATCCTCTGTGTACTTGGTTAATCAGCAGTAAAGGGGGGTGGGGGGGAAGAGTTTTGTTTGGGAATAGTGGATGCAAATGGCAGATGAACACAGTTAAATTAAAGTGACATTGGGCTAGACAGAATTTTCTGCATGGCTGCGCAGAGCAACTGCTTTGCTTATCAGGCAGAGCAGATGAATTGCTTTCATTAAATTAACGGGAATTGTACAGATCGCACATGGTGAGTGCCTCTGTGGCAAAGAGTACTGTATTGATGTAAACTCTCCTGACGGTCTGGACTAAAATAATGCTTTCAACGTTGCAGTGAAGATCGAGTGATTGACCATTACAAAAAGCTGAAAGGTCTCACCAGAGGGCAAGCCATTGTCAAGTGAGTATTATTTATTTTTCAGCTTAAAGGTTCTGCCCAATGCTGTACAATATGTATTGGGTAACAATCGACTGGTTGAATAAATATTTCTACAAGTGAGTTAGCAGACTTGATAAGCATGAACAAAAGTGATTGCTCAAGGCTGGAAATTGACAAATTATGATGCACCACATTTTTTAGATTATAATTCTACATGAGGAGTTGACATACTAATTAGGCATTTTGTAGGAGCTGCCAAACAGAGCCCAATGGTTTCCTGAATGGGGGAGGGGATGTGAGGGGGAGGAAGGGGAAAGAAGGAGGGAATCTAGGAACAGGAGAAGGCCATTCAGCCCCTCGAGCCTGTATTCTATAAGATCGTGGCTGATATGTACCTCAACTCCAGTTATCCAATATCCCTTGTTCTCCTAAAAATGCTTCCACAAAGCAACAACAACTTGCATTTATATAGTTGGATAGCGATTAAGAGCAGTTAAAACAGTGGTTCCAGACCAACATTGGCAAAGACCTGAGTCAAGCTTCTGAATCTCTTAAAGCTTGTATTGTTATGATTTTGGAAATAGTCATTACATTTTCTGTGGGAAAGTTATATTAATAATGGCACCACAAATCTATATTTACTTAACCCAGGGTGGATTAAGTGGATGCCCCAGATGTACCATGTGAATGTCAAATTCTCTGGATAAACCAATAATATACAGGGACATTTTTCTGATCATCCCTTTTTCAATATATGTTAAGTTGCACAGTAGTAAAGAATAAAATTGTTTTACCAGTTTTAATTTGTCGCGTATGTATAAAGCAAAGAGTCTGAAGGTTATCTAACACTGATTATCTTTCCTTTGCAGTTATATGACTATTGTGGAAGCACTTCCTACCTATGGTGTTCATTACTATGGTGTAAAGGTTAGTGATTAACTAGGTGAACTATATGCTGGGATGCCTTGCCTGCGATTTCTCATGTGTAGAGAGGTTCTGTTTTTATTGGAGCCTATTTTAAATTAATTTGTAACTTTTTATTCATGTCTAATCTCATGAATAAACCACTTGCTTTATTTTAAGTGCCTGAGGACAAAGGCTTGTATTGGGGGGGAGGAGGGGTCACAGTTCATAGCCTCAAACAATTTTCGCATATCTCCTAATGTTCATTCTTGACACACAAGTATGGGCCAATGCATCAACTCAAATCCAATACTTTCCTTGATATTGATTGAACCCGGAAACGTGGAGGCCACCATCATGTTGCCATTCCACTTGGCCAAACTCAGATGAAGTAGCGTTGATCAGGAATTGCATCTCTGGTCTGCGTAACTCAGTACCACATCTTGCCATATATTTATTTATTCATTGCTATTAAAGATGAGCTCCTAAAATAGTAATTTCTTAAAGTGTGTTTGCGTATATCAATTTAAAATAGAATTTAGGAGACCAATCATGGCATTTTGATGGAATGAATTCTATTCTGAGAAAATGGATTTAGGCAGGTGGCCTGAACCGTATTATAAATATATTGTGGGCAGGCGGGGGCCTGTTGAGATTTTTGCAGTAGTTAAAATGTATAGTAACTGCTGTAAGTTTGTGTTAACCCAAGAGTGCAGAGTCATCTTATTTAATTTATTTGGGCATTGTGGTATTTAAACCTTGCTGATTGACCCCAGGCCTCGAACTTCATTCAGTTGGCCACTCAGATTATGTCATGATATTGCTGCCCTCTGAAAAGCATTGCCAATTTGTGTAAAGCATTTGGATGTCCACTGAACAGAATGTGTTGTTGGTTCTTGAAGGTTGATGGAGACCACTGTTTAGCAAGCTGTTCGGAGCCATATTGGGTAACGTTAATCACCTGTCCCTTCTAATCTGCAGGATAAACAAGGAATTCCCTGGTGGCTTGGAATTGGCTGCAAAGGAATTGGGCAATACGACTTTCATGATAAAGTCAAACCCAGGAAGGTAAATAAACCATTTTAACTTTGAGCGCACACCATAGTTTCAGGCTGTTTGAGACAGAAATGTGGCCTGCAGGTGATTTGATGCAAAATGAATATAAAATGAATGTTTGAAAGGCTTGTCAGAGAATAGACATCAAAGGAAACACTGATGCTCCTCAGAAGTTTAAAGCAATTTATTTTTGTTTGTCATGTATACAGTATGATGAGGGCATTCTGTTATGAAACATCACAACAAATATTTATATGGATTTTGGCTCGCTCAGAGCATTAAACATGGAAACCCTTTGGACGTTTGTAAACATTCTTGTGGAAAACTACAGAATACCCGAACATTTAAATATTATGAACTATTTTGTTTTTAAACAAACTTTGTGGCAGCTGTCCAAAGCCTTTATGTAAAATGTGTTTCAGCTTAAAAATTCTGAGCTATGCACTTCCATTTTGCAACAATAAATAATAGTGCTTTTATTGTAAAGCACTGGTTCTTGAAAAAGTCCCCCAATGTTAGAGCAGAGAGACTAATGCTGAGGGGGAGCTTTTAATAATAGTAATAATCCTTACATTTGATATAGAATCTGTATGTGGTGAAACATCTAAAAGCACTTTATGGATAACTGCTTGTAAAAGCTGTTTAGTTTTAATGTCTTGCCCAAAGGACGACACCTTCGATAATGCACTGGGGGGCTCACCCAGTACTGTACTGTATTGTCAGCCTGTATTATCAGTACAAGCGCCAACTGGGGCTTGAAACCACAACTCTCTGACTCAGAGGTAACCATCTGATCCAAGCTGATGACTATTCTAAGTAATGCATAGCTAAAAGAAATGTATTTTTCAAGCTGCTGCTATAAATAATTTACTGAAGGATCAAATAATGTATCTATAAATTCAATAAACATTTGTTTAGTTGTATCCCGACTTGGCTTTGAAGGAAAGTCCCGGTTAAGGTTAGCCTAAGAACAAATGTACTGTATTCCAAATTAAAATAATATGCAACACATGGTTGGTACCATTGCGGAAGATGCGCAATGAAACTATTTGCTTAGTGGCCATCACATTTTCAATAATTGCCTGTAAACTCTTTGTGGCTCCCCATTTCCCAGAGGATCGAATTCAAGATCCTCGTCCTCACTTTTAAGGCCATCCATGGCCTTGGCCTCTCCTACCTCTCTGACCTGCTGACTCCCTACCAACCTGCCCGTTCTCTCCGTTCAGCGGGCTACGGTCTGTTCCATGTCTCTTGCCCGACCCGCCCTACCATTGGTGGCCGGGCTTTCAGCCTCTCTGCCCCCACACCCTGGAACTCCATCCCACGGTCCCTTCACCTCGTTTTATCCCTTGCCCCCTCTAGGGCCCCCTTCTAGGTCGGTCTCAAGACCATTCTCTTCGATCCTGCCTTTGGTCGCTCTCTGCCTTCCCTCATCCCTAAACCACCCCTCCCCCATGCTCAGGCCCCGACACCTGACTGTTCAGCGCTTTGGGATGTCCTCCCGACGTGAAAGGCGTTTTTAAATGTAATGTTGTTGTTGTAGCAGCTCTCCTTAAGGTTCCATGCTGCGACTTTGATTTCTGCATAAATTTGATATTCCACTGGGTATACAGAGTAAGGCTGATATTTCCTGAGATGTCACCTGCTGTACTATATTGATTTGGTTTGCCAGTATTGCACAATTCAGCAAAAAGTGTCGCTGCCTCTTTGATCCAGGAAACTGATTTATTAATTCAGAGTCCCTGTTAGAATTGTAAGTAACATTTTGGTGCACCGACATTAATAGTGTAGAAACCAGTATGTTTTATAATTCACAACAGGTTTCTGTGAAGGTGTGTGTTCCTTTCAGAATCTACTGAACATGTTTTTGAAAAGAAAGTTAATATAGGTTGAATAAGGGTAACATGGATATGATATAACTGGTATTGTAATGTCACATATGATATAACAGATTTTCATTTATCATTTTACTCATAAGACATTTAATCTTATGTTGATATTTATAGCTTACGGTATCAATTCGGTTTAGCATTTTTGACTTCTGAAATACTGTTTTTATATTTTTAAATAAACCTCTTTGCATACCAACCCTGTTAAAGTTGTCCTTAATATTTTGATGCACTGTATAAATGAAACAAGAACCAATATCTTTCTAATTCAGTGGGTCAATTTCTGAAGGGTACATTGTGCAGCAGCTCAATAGAGGGATGTGCTGCCTCATCTTTCAGATTGGTTTGCTTTACAGTAAACTGAAAGGATCTAACTGGCATTTGTTTAGGCTAAAGCATTAATTTACTGTACTAGCAAAGAGCTTTTCTATGGTTGGAAATGCGCCAAAGGGTGAAAATGTTCCCATTGGAAGGAAATTAGGACAAAGGAGTATATTAAATGCAGACACGGAAAGTCCACTAGTGTATACTATCCAGAACCGCACAATCTTATAGATTTTTAAAAATTCTCAAGTCCTTGAAATGTGACTTTTCTACAGTATCTTCATTAATATAAGCCATTATGCAAAAACTGATCACGAACAAGTCTAATGCTTTTACTGTATCAATCTGTGGACCTTATGCTCCACCACCATATGCTACCTTGACTAACTCCATATGCCTGTTTTGTGAGATCATGGATGAACTCCCAACAATTCAGTCAGTTGAGGACAGAGGCTAAGCTCCTGTGAGCCTGTCTTGCGTTGTCACACAACGCTTGTGATCCAGAACCCAATAATGGCAGAAAATGTTTAGGTAGGTTATTGTGCCATTCAGCCCAGCGCCGAATGTGTTTATATATTGAGGAATACTGCTGAGCTACATTTAAGTGTGCCACGTTTATTTTGCAACGTACTTCAGATCCTGATCAAACAGAACAAGCTCTGTTGTAGCCTGAGGCGGTTGCTGGAGTTCTGCCCTGTTCACTCTGTGGCGTGGAGATGCAATGTGGTGGCAGCATTAAAACAATAGTGCATGCAATTTCCAAGTTGTGATCTTTTAATTTTCTGGCCAAGAACCTTCAACAGGCTCTGGGTCAGGTCCATACAGTCCAGGAATGCAAAATTATTAATTATTTTTTCCTAATTTCTTGTAGAGATTGGACAATTGGAATAATTTCATTTTCCCATCAGTACTTTAAAGGAGTAATGGACTGTATGTTAAATTTTTATGCCGGCACTAACTGTTTTGAGATGTAGTCATATTAACTCAAATAGTTGTCTTAATTATTTATTAAAAGTGATATTATCGAAGTTTCAAATATCACTCGAGTTTAACCTTTGAACCATAATCGTTCAAAAATTTGCATAAAAGGAAACTGTGCCCTCTACTAGGAACCTTTGCTCACTCTTTATACTATCTGTATCTTGTGACTGTAAACAGTGTAAGGATTACATTATACTTTAGAAACACACTTTTGTTCATGCTAAACAAATAGTGATGATAATAATATTCCTTGAATTTGATATAGCACCTTATCATTTCTGAAGGACATCTCAAAGTGCTTTAGAGTTATTAATAATAATAATAATCTTTGCGTTTGATAGAGCACCTTATCAAGTCTTGAGACATTTCAAAGCACTTCACAGAATATACTGTAAAGGGAATTGACTGTATATTTTGTAGGTGAAACACAGAAGCCAATTGAGCGTAGCAGTGCTCCACAAACAGTCATGGATTGAGTGACCCAATTTTTTTTGAGGGATTGTTACTGCCGGAAAAGTGATCCGCCAGTCAACTAACAACCGAGTTCCTACTTACTGCTAAGTAAACAGAGGCACGTGGAGCAAGGAAACTTGCCCAATGTTTCGCTACCGGGAATCAAACCCAGGTTTCTTGCTTATGAGGTGAGTGCTCTAACCACTGAGTTACAGGACGCCTGTAGCTAAGTTCTTTTGGAGAAATGGATAGTTGTAATTGGAGTGACTTGCAACGCTATTTAATCTTTATGGTTCCTAATTTGAAAAAACAAAGTGCGCAAAATTATATAGAAGGAACTGTGATGGGAGAAAAAGCATTATGGAAACAAACCCTTTTAAATTATGTCTGGCATTTACTCCTTTCAATATGTATGATCCCAGCCCTGCCCCAGGCATTGAGTGGTAATATCTAATTTTTTTTCAGCAGCACATCTGTCACTCATCTGTGGCGCTACCCAGGTGCTCCATCAATAGTTGATGATTGCGTGGTCTTTCATAAGCATATCTCAAGCTTGTGTTTGTAGGTCACTGTGTTGAAGTTGAGGTTGATTGGCTTTTCAGAACCGCTGTTGAGTAAAGCTGGTTTTACTGTACTGAACTGGCTATTTATACTTGTGATTGTTAAAGTGGGATGCCATTTGTTTTTGCGTGATAACAAAATGCATATTCACAGCTGGTGGCATCAGGGGAACCCAAAGTCCTTTGCCCTGAGACGTAAAAGTCTAGTTCTCGTGGAATCTAAATTGAGCAACTGTCTTCCTGTAATGATTCATTTATGTTGTTTCCGTTGTTTGGTGCTGACTGGAGTGTCAAATGAATACATTGTGTGTAACAAGGAGCCTGTATTAACTGTTACATTGTCTGGCTGCACAGTCTGCGGAGTATTCTGCGGTAGGTTTGTTGTCAATCTGAAACTGTAGACAGTAGATGGAATATGATGCTATTATACAGGTAGCAATTTCAAGGTAGCGGCACAGTTTTGAACTCTTCTGAGAGTCGCTTGATAGGTAAGAACTATCTAAAGTTTTCATTCACAAGATAGAAACACAGAGTTTTTCTATATCAACAGAACGAGAGCCCTGGTAACTGAGAACTGTGGCTTACCGCCCAGAAGCAGAACTAGATCAAATCCCGCTCTGTGCTGCTCCCAACTGAGGTGGCATGTGAGGTTAAATTGTCCTTGTCCTTTTTAGGGTTGGCGAGGTTAAAGTCGGCCAGGTTTCCTTGTTCTCATCTCTCTTTAGTATTCTGCACTGGTGGTGCACAACTAAATGGAAAAAAAAGTAAAGGGCAAAATAATGCAGATGCTGGAAATCTGAAACAAAAACAGAAGTCGCTGGGAACGTGCAGCAGGTCAGGCAGCATCTATGGAGAGAGGAAAATGAGTCAACGCTTCAGGTCGATAACCTATCGTTTGATGAAGGGTTATCGACCAGAAGCGTTGACTCATTTTCTTCTTCCATGGATGCTGCCTGACCTAATGCACGTTCCCAGCAATTTCTGGGGAAAAATAGTAGCTCAGCTGTGCGGCCCTCTGCTGTTTACTGGCTGGCCACAAGACTCACATGTGAGCAATAACCACTTAGTCATTTTCAATCTACGACTGTTTGTGGGACATTGCTGTGCGCAATTGGCTGCCGCGTTCGCCCACAAATATGCAGTCAATTCACTTTACAGTGTCTTCTGTGAAGCGCTTTGGGACGTCCTCCCGACGTGAAAAGCGCTATATCAAATGCAAGGATTATTATTATTATTATTAGATGGAGTGCCAGAGGGTACTCAGCATCAACACCCATAGCATTGAATCCTAGGACAGCAAGAGTCCAGATGTATACCAACAGGAAAGAAAATTAGCAAAATAATTAAAACTGAGCAAATTGGGAGCAACAACAACAACAAGATTCCATTTATAGAGCGCCTTTCACGTCGGGAGGACGTCCCAAGGCGCTGGAATGTGATACAGAAAATATTTTGGGAAAATTCAGTGAAAATCGGGATTTGTTTCTGGAATATTCCCTTGATTTGCATATTACAATTGAATGAAGCAAATTATTTTCTTTGTTCACTTGAGTTGGTCTCTAGAAGGCTGGTGATATTATTTGTCATGTTAACAATCTGGATTTCCTGTTTATTTTGGGTTCCGCGGTGCACAAGAAGCAATCTTTCCCCTTCACCAAACGTTTTCAAATAGAGATTTTTGTTTTCGTAACCAGGTTCGAGAAAGGAATTGTTTTCCCACTAGCAATCATTTGGGGGAAAATGCCACAGTATGACCCACCGTAATGTTCATGCCTTGTATATATTTCCTGTTGCATTGTCCTTTACGGAAACTTATTATCCCAGTTTTCCTTTTAGCCAGGCCTATGACATCATGACCCCATCTGGCTCCCACGAGCAGATGAATTCCATTCAAATGAGTAACGTCTAGCTAGGTGTACAGTTAATATTAAAAGGGTAGTTAACTGCACATGATGTCTCAGGATAGTGTCCTTAATCACCTTTGCTCCAAAATAAATTGTTGTCAAACTATGCAGTGTGTATCGGAGTGTTATGCCCATGAAATCTCACAGAGTTTAGATGAGATGGGACAACACACAGTGTTATTACTCTAGCTTTGCAAATGTTCCTTTGCACAATAAATGTTTTTGGTTTAGTTGTTCACCTTACATTTAAATACAATGACTCCATTATCTCTCCATTCCTTTTATATAGCTGTTGTGCAATCTTGACGCCTTTTTTCACTACGTAATGTGTATTTAGCTTTTGACTTTTTACAAGCTCAAACAACTCTTTTCTAACCAGGTGTGAAGTTTCCCCATAAAATGAATAGCAGATTTAGACTACAGGTTAGCTAGGATCCGTCTAGCACCTTCGCTCCTAGCTAAAGCTGGAATACACATGAATGAGGTGTGGTGAAGAAACTTGGTCTCTATTCCCTTGAGTTTAAAAGGTTGAGGGGGTGATCTGATTAAGGTTCTTAATGATAAGATGAATCGATAGGGTAAATAAAGTTAAACTACTTCCTCTGGTAGGAGAATTCGGAACAAGGGGGCTTAATCTTAAAATGAGAGCGAGGCCATTTAGGAGTGAAATTAGGAGGCAGTTTTTCACCCAAAGGGTAGTGGGAACTTTCTCCCCCAAAATGGTGTGGATGTATCCATTCACATCTTCAAGACGGAGGTGGATAGATAATTGTCGGCTCGGGGTATTAAGGGATACGGGGCAAGGGTGGGCAGTTGGACTTGAGATATCAGCCACGACCTTACAGAATGGCAGAACAGGCTTGAGGGGCTGAATGACTTACCCCTCTTTCCATGAAAGGTACCAAATGGTGAGAAATGACCGAGAGTGAAGATGTACCCTAACCCAGCCTCTGGTACCAAACCCGTGTGAGCAGGACATAGTTTCATATCCTTGCTGTCATCCGCACACATGTGACATTGCATATGAGGCATGACATAAGCGAGTTTATACTACTGGGAGCTGACCTGGACTAATCATTCTGGTTTAGATGAAAAGGGCAGCAGTAAAGAAGAAAATGGTAGCTTTGTCAGCACCTTCACTTGGATGAGAGATGGCATTAGACAAATGATAGAGGAGTTAGTTGAATCCACTATTTAGAATTCAAAATTGTGGAGTCCTGTAGCTCAGTGGTTGAGCACTCGCTTTGCAAGCTAGAGACCTGAGTTCAATTCCAGGCAGGGCGAAACCTTGGGCAAGTTTCCTTACTCCACACAGAGCCTAATAATAATCCCTCCAAAACCAAAAACAATAATAAATTGGTCATTTTCAATCCACGACTGTTTGTGGGACATTGCTGTGCGCAATTGGCTGCCGCGTTCGCCCACAAATATACAGTCAATTCACTTTACAGTGTGTTCTGTGAAGCGCTTTGGGACGTCCTCCCGACGTGGAAAGCGCTATATCAAATGCAAGGATTATTATTATTATAAATACTAAAAGATGCGGTTGACTTTATCAACCGAGACTAACATTTTTAAAAAAATAAGGAACATTGCAAGATTTTTCATAATCTATAAACGACAATGTTGTGCTTTTTTGGGGGCATTTATGAATCCATTGGTCCCAGTACTAGTTTCTAAGATTGTATCCAGCAGCAGTTTTGATTCAAGTATCGGGGGGGAGGGAAACTAGGTTGAAACTTCCTTAACCTTCCTGACAGAAAACACAGTCGACATATTTGCTCAGCTGCAAAGTGACTAGAAGAAACTAATAATTAAAGCTGGTATGCTGCCGCACATCTTGCAGAACCTGCTTGACAAGCGCTTTGGTTACAGACAGCTGACTTGAAATAACATCCCCTTTAAAGAGCCTCAAATTGGTACTTTTTTTTACACACCACAGCATTTAATAAGGAAAGGAATTCCAATGTGACCTGGAGCACACTATTCAGTTCTGCTGAGCCAATCGTGTTCACATTAAGCAGGTGTGGATACTGAAGCCTCCTCTTAAAAGCTTATTTTTTTGTTTGTGGGCCATGTTTTCAGATTAAAAAGTAAAATCCCTCAACTAAGTTGCTTTCCCCTTGTGTTTCATTCAACCTTGTTCCGCTGAAACGCAGGGCTGCTGGGAGTGAACTTTATTACTGTGAGTGATGTTGATAGCATGAGTAAACGGTGGGTGGAGTCAAAGTATGAATTGCCTGAAACTCACCTCGGGACAGGCTGAAGACTAGTATGAGAAGGGCTCTTAGGATCTTAACACAAGATGGAGCAGCTGACTCGAAAAAGCCGTGCTTTACTTCAGGCATTATAATGCTGGTGAGTTGACTTGAGAATGAAAATTAAAATGTTTGCTGATTTTTAGTTGTGGAGTTCAGTGTCAGTAGTGAGTTCGTATAGGGAACTAACACTGAGATCTGCTGCAGCAGAAACTGAAGCTTTTTTAATGATTGTTTTATCAGGTCAACTCCCCTTTCTTCTCCTCCCAATCCTTCTTCCTTCCTTTCCAAAAAGAATGCATCTTTTAGTTTCAGGGAAGATATGCTTCTGTAACTTGTTAATGACTCTCCTGCACACAGCCCTGAACATTCTTTGCAGTCGTTTGTTAACACAGTTAAAACGACCAATTGATTCCGAGCTCACATTAATGACTAACCAGAGCAATGCCAGGAATTACACGGCATTATCTATTTTGGAGGTCATTTAGGGGGAAAAAAAGGAAGGTGCCAGTAAAAGGAAAAGGAAGTTATTGTAATATGCCTTACCTTTTACGGTAACACCACTGATTTACTGAATGGACGCGTGTGGTCAGTTCTGTTTTGTGACTTTCAATTATTTTAGACACTGCATCTTTTCATTTTGTTTATTGTGTTGAGCCATAGTTGTTGTATTGTTGTGCTAACCACACATAGTTCCTTTTATTTGGCAGGGTTCTTCTGTGGTTTTACAATTAATAGCTATTTTTTCTTCATTAGATTTTCCAGTGGAAGCAACTTGAAAATTTGTACTTTCGCGACAAGAAGTTTGCAGTTGAAGTGCACGATCCTCGCAGGTAAGATTTTTATCTCTCGTTTACTGCCCTGACTATGAAATGGCCTGTGTCTCTGTAGGCTAGAGTGTTTACGATCAACACGTTTGCAGAATCAACAAGTTTTAATGAATCTGTTCTCCCCCATGTCTGGATTTGCTAGTACTTATGTGCCATTCCAGAGCAGCTAGAATTTGGCAAATTATTAAATCCAGCCTTAATTTTTTGAAGACTTATTTTATGTCCAAGAACTACAGAAAACCAATTTCAAAGCATGGACTGAATTCATCAATTTGTCAAATTCTGTGCATGCTGAAATAGTGTAAATCTAGACCCAGATGGAATTTCTAACCAGTGATGATTTAATATAGCCATTAAATGTCGTTGGAAGTGTTTAGAAGTGATTTCAATAATAAATCAGACTCTTTGGATAAAGGCTGTTTAGAATACATCTACATTTATAGAATGAAGTGAATTCTTGGTAGCTTTACTAGTAGTACACTTTTGCTGGTAAAAGTAATTATGGGTTTCAGAAGTATAAAAGCTATATTAATAGTCATTGCTAACTTTGCACTCATTGAATCTGAGTTTAATTTTTCCAGTGCTTTTTAAGTGCACGTTTTTTTTAAAATAAAAATTTTGAAATCATTATTGATTAATTAAATCAACATTCGGTGTGCAAGTTGTGCTGACATGCTACCTTGATGAGGTTCTCTGACAATGGTGAAACTAAGAATAACGTGAATTTTCAAATAAACTTTATTTTTATATTTGTGAAAATAGTAGCATCCCCTTTAGATATGCAGAAATTATTCTCAATTCAATTTTGCTGAATTTAAATTATTGGTGTCAACTCTTTAGTGGAGTCTGATGTTTCACACAGTGCAAGTTTTCCTGTAGTAACCTTGCATCTTTTTGTACAGTTTCACTGCACACTTCTCTGTCAAAGCAGCTGCAATCTGTTTTCTGCATTCCTTTTCCCTTGTCAGATTAGTTTCTGGAAAAAGTGGCATAACAAATGCATCAATTTTGCTGGCTTCTAGCCATTCTAAGCCTAATGTCTGAAGAAGTCAATATATTTCAGCAAGAAAATTTGGCTGTTCAGCCATCCATTGGAAAGGGGGGAAAGAAACAACTGAACAGATTTTTGTTAACCGTTTGTGTTCAGCACGCTTGATTTGTTGTGGTTGATGACCTGCAAGTAGGTAGAAGATTCTGCTAACATAAAATCTAATTGTAACATTGTAGACACACTTGCCTTGAATAAGGTAATGGGGGCAGGGGGGAGACCCCAAACCATCTCAGGTGATTCTGCTAATACTTTAACAGCCACATTAAGGCTAATGTAACTTTCCACTGCCCAATGAGCATTGACCCAGTTGAGATCAGGTCAATCAACAAAGGCCAGGAATTAAAAGGAATTTCTGTTCTGTCTGACTCAAGGTCATTGTGCTATATAATTGCTATATAAATGTACTTTGCTGAAGCCCTGTTAACTTTTCTAAAAATGCAGCAATAATGCACATTTTTTTAATAGAAGCACAAGTGGTGGCTTGTATCAAAATCTGGATCTAAACTTTAGAGCAATTTGGCCATCACGTTACTATGTTTTTTGTAAGATGAAGGCATTGATGAATTCTATCACATGCATGTTTGGTTTTGCAGAGTGCCATTGTCGAGAAGAACCTTTGGGCAGAGTGCGTTGGTAGTAAACACATGGTATGCGAGCACCTCACAGATAAAGTCCATTTGGGTGATGGCAATCAGTCAACACCAGTTCTACTTGGACAGAAAACAGAGCAAAGTAAGTTGTCAAGTCAAAAGAGTGGAATTTAATCTAAATTGAGTGAAACACTTGTAAGTGAGAGTGTGAGCAATTGAATCCCTTTTTATTTAGAAGTGTGATTCATTACCCCTAAATTGTGAGTGATCCTTATTGTGACTCTAGAAGATGTCATTTGATCCAGGATTGCTTTTTGTTGTGCACCTGTAGGCAAAGATTCCATCAGCTAGAAGTATCAGTGACATCGCAATGGACTTGACTGACACAGGAACATCAAAAGCTTCTAAATTAGCAACTGTGGATGGGAAAAATCCACTCATTACAACTAGTAATGGCAGCCTAATCTCCTCAGGTAAAAAAATGGGTCTTGTGATTTTTAATATGCAAACAATAAATAAAGTTTTGAAATTGAAGATGCCAGCTTGGTATTATTGAGTATTCTTAGACATTTGTTTTTTTTGTTTAAAAAGTCATTATTTGGAGATAACCAATGTTTTACTTGGTTTTCCAATTTGAACAGTTCACATTTGAGTCATTTGAACACAAGGAAATCAACTGACATCTCTCATTATCTCTTCCTTTAATGGTAAAGCTTCATTATTAAAAATTGGGAAGTCCGAAGAAAGTTAAAACCCCAAACAAATCATTTTGTCTTTGTAGTAATTGTAATATTTCCTGGTAAATAATTTTGCTTGTTCCTGTGTTTTTAAAAAAAATACAAAAACTACACAGCTCAGATAAAACTACAAAGAAACCTGTTCCTTCGGGTATATTTCAGTAAACTAGACTGTGGCAACAATTTAAAAGTAATTATGCAAAGTAAGTTACTGCAATAATATTAAATATGCAAGAAATTGTGTAACTCAAATCTTTAATTCGCCTTGTCTTCCCAACGTGAAAGGCGCTATACAAATGTAATTTTGTTGTTGTTGTTAATTTTCACGGAACCTATACTATCCTGTGTCCTCTCGCCAGGAATTAGGTCAATAATTTTAAAGCAAAGTTTCTATATTAGTTATGTTGTAATTTTGATGAAATTCCTGTTAAGCTGCATCCTGTTGGTGTGCTATGTTCACAATAAGTCTCGGAAGTGTAACATTTCATCCTCTCATCCCCATCTCCAGGGGAGGAAAAAATCTTAAATACTTATTACTGCTGTCTAAAACATAATTCGAAACACTCTAGATTTGTGCTGATGAAAGAGTTAAGCCTATTGCTATGTGTTTTGGTGATTTATTGCTTCTTATCTCAACTGTCCTAATCTGGTTCATCTCATCAGTGCACAACGATAAATCGAAACCCACTTGGCAAAAATATGTAACAAAAACAGAGAGAGCTGGAAAAACTCAGCAGGTCAGGCAGCATCTATGGAGATGACCATAGACCTTCTGACGAAGGGTTGTGGACCTAAAACGTTGACTCACTTTCCTTTCTCCATAGATGCTGTCTGACCTGCTGAGCATTCCCAGCTCTCTCTGTTTTTGTATCAGATTCCAGCATCTGCAGTATTGTGTTTTGTTTTTTGGCAAAAATATGTGATGGTTATCAGTCTGTATCTGCAATGAAAATCTTACAGAACAGGACTGTCAAGTCACTGGAATGACTAATATCGCAAAAGCACAAAAAAGTAGTGGTTTCTGAGTGTGTTAGACATAAATTCTAAATCTGCTCTGGTCTGCCTATATTATTGCAATTTTTCCCTCCTTTGTTTTGCATTATTAACACCTCTATTCCCCTGCTTTGTTGCAACCCTCCCTCCCAATTTGTTTTGCATCATTAACACCTCTTTAATCCATCACCCCCTGTCCTGTACCCCATTTTCTCCTTTGTCTTCCTTGCCCTGACTCCCTCCTCTCTGTTAGCCCTTAAAAGCCTCTCCCTCCCAACGTGCCCCAGTTTTGACGATGGGTCGTGGACCCAAAACGTTGACTCACTTTCCTTTCTACATAGATGCAGCTTGACCTGTTGAGTTGTTCCCAGCGACTTCTGTTTTTGTTTCATAACTTCTAAATCACCGTTTTCTTCTTTTTTTTGAAGAACATCTCTTTACTCTGTGTATGCAAGTGTATAAAATACTTTCGTAGACAAAAATAAGTTACATTGTCGAACCAAATGTCCAATTATGATTGGTAGAAGAGTCACTGCATTTAATTTCATTGTTCCCACTTGGGGAGGAAGTAAAGTCTGGTTTCAACCAATTCCTGTTGCAAAGTCCAGTCCTGTAACTATTCATTATGACCAGGTGGAGTTTGGCATTAAGTGCAGCTTACATTACTGTGTGTTCAACTATGAATAAAAATCAATACTATGTATAGAGAGCAGTTATCAGATCATGATCCTTTGTTTGGTTTCTAGTTTGCATCATTAACACCTCTATTCCCCTGCTTTGTTGCAACCCTCCCCCCCCCACTTTGTTTTGCATCATTAACATCTCTTTAATCCATCAGCCCCTGTCCTCTACCCCATTTTCTCCTTTGCCTTCCTTGCCCTGACTCCCTCCTCTCCGTTAGCCCTTAAAAGGCTCTCCCTCAGATATGAGAAGCCGCACGGCTATGCTCCTTAATGTTTTTTTATAATAATAATACTTGCATCAGCGCCTTATCACGTCTTCTAGATGACTCAGAGCGCTTCACAAATTATACTGTACAGTGAATTCACTGTTTTGTGGATAAAAGGTGGCAGCCAATTGCACACAGCAGTGCCCCACAAACATTCGTGGATTAAGCGACCGAATTATTTATTTATATTTTGTCCAACTTCCCCAAACTAAAGTTTTAATCATAGAATTGTACAGCACAAAAAGAGGCCATTCGGCCCATCGAGTCTGTGCCGGCTCTTTGATAAGAGTCAGTCCCACTCCCCAGCCCTTTCCCCATAACCCTGCAAACCCGTCTCCTCAAATACCCACCCACCGCGTTTTTAAAAGTTGTTATCGAATCGGCCTCGACCATCCTTTTAGGCAATGCGTTCCAGATTCGAACAACTCGCTGCGTAAAAAAATTTCTTCTCATCTCCCCTCTGCTTCTTTTAGAGACTATTTTGAATCTGTGACCTCAAGTCACCGACACACCCACCAGTGGAAACAGTTTTTCCCTTTCTAACCCATCAAATCCCCTCATGATTTTGAAGACCTCTATTAGGTCTCCTCGTAACCGTCTCTGCTCCAATGAGAATAATCCTAACCTCTCGAGCCTTTCTTCATAATCAAGGTAACTCATTCCTGGTACCATCCTCGTAAATCTCCTCTACACCCTTTCCAATGGCTTAACATCCTTCCTGTAGTGTGATGCCCAGAATTGGGCGCAGTATTCCAACTGAGGCCTAACCAGTGTTTTATATAGGTTAATCATAACCTCCTGACTCTTGTACTCTATGCCCCTATTTATAAAGCCTGGTATCCCATATGCCCTTTTTACAGCTTTATCTACTTGTCCTGGCACCTTCAAGGATTCATTTACCTGCACCCCCAGGTCTCTCTGTTCCTTCACCTTCCTTATGATTGTATTACCAGCCTATATTGCCTCCCCTCATTCTTTCTACCAAAATGCATTACTTCGCATTTCTCCACATTGAAACTCATCTGCCATGTGTCTGCCCATTTTACCATTCTGTCTATGTCTTCCTGCAGTTGGCTGCTATCCTTCTCACTGTTTACCACCCTACCTAACTTTGTGTTGTCCGCAAACTTGGAAACGGTACTTGCTATTCCCAAGTCCAGATCATTTATGTATATTAAGAAGAGCAGTGGTCCTCATACTGATCCCTGGGGGACACCACTGTACACTTCCCTCCAGTCAGAAAAGCAGCCGTTCACCACAACTCTCTGCTTTCTGTCTCCCAGCCAGTTCTGGATCCATGCTGCCACTCTCCCTTTTATACCATCTTTCTTACAAGTCTTTCATGTGGCACTTTGTCAAATGCCTTTTGAAAGTCCATATAAACTACATCAATTGCACTACCTTTATCCACCCTCTCCGTTACTGCATCAAAAAATTTTATTAGGTTTGTTAGACAAGATTTGCCTTTACCAAATCCGTGCTGGCTGTCCCGAATTAACCCATATTCTTCTAAGTGAAGATTTATTCTGTCCTGGATTTATAGTCTCCAGGTGTTTCCCCACTACTGATGTTAGGCTGACTGGCCTGTAGTTCCCAGGTTTGTCCTTCTGTCCCTTTTTGTGTACAGGGGAGTAACATTGGCCACTCTCCAGTCCTCTGGCACCACCAGAAGAATCAAAATCCAACGAAGATTGAAAAATTGTAACCAAAGCCTCCACTATTTGTACCCGTGCCTCCCATAGTATCCTTGGCTGCATCCCGTCCGGACTGGGCGACTTGTCTACCTTCAGCCCAGTCAACCTTTTCAGTACTTCCTCTCTGTTTATACTTATCCTATCCATTTCCTCTACCCTCTCCTCCGATACTGCGGCATTTGGTGCATCCACTTCTTTTGTGAAGACAGATGCAAAGTACTCATTCAGTACATCAGCCATGCCCTCTGCCTCCACAATAAGATTTCCGCCTTGGTCCTTAATTGGCCCCACCCTACCTTTGACTAACCTTTTTTTCTTGATATATTTGTAAAATATTTTAGAATTCCCTTTAATGTTACCCGCTAACCTTTTTTCGTATAATCTTTTTGCCCCTCTTATTTCCTTTTTCAGTTCTCTTCTGCACTTCCTATATTCTATTTGGTTGTCTTCTGTATCTTGGGTTTGACATTTGTCATACGCCTCCTTTTTCTGCTTCATTCTAGATACAATTACCTTCGTCATCCAGGGAGGTTTGGATGCCCTACTTTTCCCTTTTGTGGGAATGTATTTATTCTGTCCCCGAGCTATCTCATCCTTGAAGACTTCCCACTGCTCTTTAGTTGTTTTACCTGCCAATCTTTCTTTCCAGTCCACCTTGGCTAGGTCCCTTTTTAACTCACTGAAATTTGCCCTCTTCCAGTTGAGTATCTTCACCTTAGATGGTTCCTTGTCCCTTTCCATATGCACTCTGAATCTAATGATATTGTGATCACTATGGCCCAGATGCTCTCCCACTGAAACCTGCTCCACTTGCCCTACTTCATTCCCCAGAACTAGATCCAGCACTGCTTCCTTCCTCGTTGGGCTGGAAACGTACTGATCAAGAAAGTTGTCCTGTATGCATTTTAGGAATCTTTCCCCCTCCTTGCCCTTTGCGCTGTTGTTTTGCCAGTCTATGTTGGGATAATTAAAGTCCCCCATTATCACGACTATTGGCCTTGCATCTGTCTGAGATCTGCTTGCAGATCTGCTCATCTATTTCCTTCCCACTATTTGGTGGTCTATAGTATACCCCTACCAGCGTAACAGCTCCTTTTTTGTTCCTTAACTCTAACCAGATAGATTCCGTTTTGGGGCTCTCCAGCACCTCAACCCTTTCCACGGCTATAACTGTATCATTGATTAAAATTGCCACACCCTCTCCTTTTTTTCCTTCCCTATCCCTCCTGAATACATTATAGCCAGGAATATTCAGCTCCCATTCCTGTCCTTGTTTGAGACAAATCTCTGTTACTGCTACTACATCGTATCCCCCTATGACTTGAGCCTGCAGCTCACCAATCTTGTTTGCTAAACTCTGTGCATTTAGGCACATGCACTCCAAGACCGACTTGACCTGTTTTGCACTCCCCCCCCCCCCCCCCCCCCAGTTGTAGTTCTCCATTTTCTAGCTCTTCGTTTTTTGCATTCCCTTCCCCCTCAAAACTAGTTTAAACCCTCCCCAACAGCATTATTCAGCCTGTCTGCAAGGACATTCGCCCCAGCCCTGTTTAGGTGTAACCCATCCATATGGTACAGGTCCCACCTCCCTCAGAACTGGTCCCAATGATCCAGAAACCTGAAGCCCTCTTTTCTGGACCATTTATCCAACCAAGCATTCATATGCTTGATCCTGTCATTATGGTACTTATTTGCCCGAGGCACAGGGAGTAATCCAGAGATCACCATCTAATACTAGAGAAGAGTCTGCAGATATGGTTTCTGAGTACACTCTCTACAATTACATCTGAGAAATTGATCAGACCATCGTGCATTGGAATGACTTTGCAAAAATGGAGAGAAGAAAGGGATTTTTTAAAAAAAATTGGTGTTGATGTATTTTGATAAGAACACGTCCCATGCTCATGGATTCTATAATTCCACTTCGGATCGTGAAGTGACCCGTAGACAATCTTGTAAAGGACAAGTCTTTCAGTGCTGCTGTTCTATGTCTCAGTGCCCAAGGCAACTTTTAAACTACATGAAGCCTTGCTGCATTACATCTTGCTTACAGTTTTCATAGTTACTATAAGGAGATGTTTAAAATAATGAAGGCGATTAACAAGCTAGCTACCTTATTCAGATGTCAGTAATAGTAGTAGTAATAATGTGTATTCATTCAGGTTCCCAGGACTCTGAAGTCAGTGATGAGCAAAAGAAAGAGAAGCTGATTGAATTAAAGCAACGACAAAGTACATTGCAGGAAATCCTTGGTCAAAAAATGGAAGAATTGAAGAAAATTTGTTTGCGGGAAGCGGTAAGAATAATAATCCTTGTTCTGATAGCGCCTTAAAATCTCAAAGCGTTTCACAGATAATTGCTGTCAAATGTAGTAATACTTATTTGTAGATAAACATTTTTTTTTAAAAAATCAAAATGGAGTACAATGTTAATGGCATTTTCCACCAGATAAATGTTGCATTAAATGAGTGCTTTGCAAAGCTGTATTGAAACAGCTGGTTAGTGAAATGTTTAACTTGGTGTCGCCTCCTTTATTAACTGCACATTGGGACTGGCCTGAATTTCTTTTGCACCTGGATTGCAGGAGCTGACTGGCAAGTTGCCGAAAGAGTATCCACAAACAACAGGAGAAGAACCTCCGCATATTAGGCGACGTGTAGGCACAGCTTTCAAACTGGATGACAACCTCCTGCAAACTGAAGAGGCAAGTACAGTAAAGAGACCTGATTAACACACGTAACAGGCAACTAAGCCGTTAAAGTAGCTTTTTTTTAAAAAAATTACCCGTTCATTCTCATAATAATAATCTTAAAATTAGAACTAAGCCATTTAAGAGTTAAATTAGGAAGCATTTTTTCACACAAAGTGTAGTGGAAATCTGGAGCTCTCTTCCCCCAAAAGGCTCTGTGTGCTAGATCCATTCAAATTTTCAAGACTGAGGTGGATAGATTTTTTTTAGGTAAGGGGATCAAGGTTTATGGCGCATTTGGAGTTGAGGTACAGATCAGCCATGATCTTCTAGAATGGCAGAACAGGCTTGAGAGGCTGAATGGCCTACTCCTGTTCCTATATTCTTTGGTACTTAAGTATTAACTCATTTGATGGTTTGTATTTTCTTTCAGTTTCATTCAGACAGGAGAGGAAGTATATATATTTTTAAATTCTCTTTGAAAGAATAATGAGATGAGGTTTTTTTTTCAGGATCCCTATTTGCAAGATGTGGAGAACAAGTTTGTAATTCAACAGAAGATTGTGGAAGCTGCGAGGAAACTTGCCAATGACCCTGACATCTGCAAGAACCTTAAAAAGAAGAGGAAACTGGACTACATTGACGCTTTGAAAAAGCTTCAGGAAATAGAGAATGCGAGTAATGAATACAGAATAAAGTGTGGGAGAAAACCCACACAAAGGGCGTCCCTCATTGTTTCAGGTAATAAAGCCGGGCTTTCAGCCTCTCTGCCTCCACACTCTGGAACTCCATCCCACTGTCCCTTCGCCTCGTTTCCTCCCTTGCCTCCTTCAAGACCGGTCTCAAGACCCTTCTCTTCAACCGTGCCTTCGATCTCCCTCCCACCTCTCTGCCTTCCCTCACCCCTACACCACCCCTCCTCCATGCTCGGGCCCTGACACCTGATTGTTCATCGCTTTGGGACGTCCTCCCAACGTAAAAGGGGCTCTATAAATGTAATTTTGTTGTTATGATAATGCTTGCATTTGATATAGCACTTTACACATCTTCTAGGCATCTCAAAGCACTTCACAGAATAGACTGTAAAGTGAATTGACTGTATATTTGTGGGCGAAATGCGGCAGCCAATTGCGCACAGCAGTAGTAACTGTACAGCATCTTAGATATTATTAGTGACATTTGAAACTGTGTAGAACTGGGAGTCCTGTAGCTTAGAAGTTGGAGCACTCACCTCGTAAATGAGGGGACCTGGGTTTGATTGCCAGCAAGGCAAAACGTTGGGCAAGGTTCCTGACCCCACACACTTCTGATCACCTAGCATTAAGTAGGAAACTAATTGTTAGTTGATTGTTGCTTTTCCGGGGGTAATAATCGCTTCAAAAAATAATAATAATAATTTGGTCACTCAGTCCACGATTGTAGGACACTGCTGTGCACAATTGGCTGACACATTTCACCTATAAAATATAGTCAGTTCACTTTACAGTATATTCTCTGAATGCTTTGAGATGTCTTGAAGACATAAGGGGCTATATCAAATGCAAGGATTAATTAATTTCAAATATAAATGCTGTGTTTGCTTCACTAAAGCATTCTTCTACTGTTTGCTTTGAAGAATCTGTCAATGAACCATATGGAAATAAAAGGTTAAACAATTTGCAGGTCACATTTGGCAATAAATTTGTTGTAACCTTTTAACATACCACACAGAATTACAAATCTACAAACTTCTGCATTTTCCTTCTTACTTAGATGAGGGCATCCCTTCAGAGTGCAGTTCTTTGTCGGATACGAATACAATGGATGATGGTATGTTATGAAACCTACTGTGAATGTTAACCTTTCCACGATACATTGACCATGACTTTTCAACAGCAGGAATCTGGTTTGAGTGGTTCAGATCTTATCGAGATTTCGCAATCTTCGTTCCTTCATGCAAGATTGAGTAAATGATTGTGAACTGCCCTTAAAATGTAAACTGAATTACTATAACTCTACGTTGATATCATGATTAGTCAATTATTTTATTATTAACCCCTGACTGAGTTTAGCTCGATGTGCTTGTGGATTGGGTGGGGAGGAATCATTATAATTTGGACTCAGTCTACCTGTGCTAGGGAGTGCAATGTAAGGCTGGCCTTTTGCTCCTGATCGTTATGCTGTGACACCGATAATAGAAATGTACAAGACAGAGGAGGCCATTCAGTCTGTTTATTCAGTGTTGGTATGCTCCACCAAGAAGCTATCCAAACTGTATTTCTTCTGCCGTTTATTAAATTCCCCCGTTGTCTTTGCTCTAATAACCACCCCTGGTAAATCATTCCATACCGTGACAACTCTCTCGGAGAGAAGTTCTTCTGAATCTCTCCTTGTACTGCCCCAGTAATGGACTTGAATTTATGTCCTCCAAACTACAACTTGCTGGAAAAAGCATCAGAATCAACTTGAGACAGGGACGGACAGTAGTGGGCTGAGCTGCGATGTTACCAATGGTAAAGGCAGTCTGCGAATACTCCCCCATCAGGCACGCCAATGAAGAATGGTCTCTTAGACATATACCAGATGGCTCCTGATGTATGTGAACTCGTACCTTGCATGAGCACATTTGGGAAAAGAGAAGAGGGAGACACAAGTAATGTGTACCTTGAGTAAATAGCAGTACTTTGCACTGTGACATTGTTACTGTGACATTACTGATTATGTACATTGGTGAAAAATATATTTTTAGCTCTTTGTAACTTCTGCCTTTTATTGCATTTGAATGGCAGATGACCTACGTACTGTACAGAGACAAAGATCCTTTTCTAGCCAGCAAACGCCAAGACCGCTTCCTCCACAGTCCCTTGAGATTAAGCACAGTCGACAGAGGAGGAGTTCTACAAGTGAACAGTTTCATGATAAGGGACACGTAAGACAACCAAGGTAAGAAATTCTTGGATTTACTGCGCTGTGTGTGTCTAAAAATCAATATATTTTGCTTTCTCTTGAGTTAACGTTAAAAATGCATATTTAAAATTTAGCTTTTTGAATTCTCTGCAAAAGTAAATCCTTCGATTCTTTGACGAAAACGTTTTGTTTTCGGCAAGCTGGAATCGTCAAGGTGCGTTGAAAAACTTAACTAATGAAATGAAAATGCACTGTATTCCAGATACATCAGCAATGAAGCTTACTACGTGCAGGATAGCTCACTGCGTAGTCACAGAGAACTGAGCTCAACACACAGCAGCCCTTACAGAACTCAAGGGAGGCAAAGCCAGGGAGGAAGAAGTATGCCAGCCACACCAGTTTTGACTCGTAACGCTTACAGCAGCAGTCATCTACGGTATGACCTTGAACAATAAGTTGTGTTTTGAAAAATTTATCACCGTAGTTTAAATAAGTGGTCTCATATACAACCAAGTCTGGTGACGAGCAGGATAGGATATTCAAGCGCTACGGGATGCCATCTGGCGTGAAGGGCGCTATATAAATGCTTGTTGTTGTATGTGTAACAGAAATACCTTAATAAGGAGCTTCATAAAATGAGCACGATATTTCCTGCCTTGTTTTTTGGTTGTTTGTTTTCCTGCATTTAATTTTCCTATGTAGCATTTCAGATTCACACAGAGCATCGCCAATAACTCCTGCGTAGATTTTAGTTTATTTCTAAACATCACCTGTTACCTGCTCTCTGATTACTGATAGTCCTTTGTCTTGTGATTAATTTGCATGTGCATATCAAGTACAAGATATCCAGGCTACCACTGGAATCGAAAATGATTGAAAGCGAACTCAATTGTTTCAATATTTAGTGAAAGGGACAGCTGGCTGAGACTTTGTAAAGTAGAAACTACATTAAAGTTGACTGTTGAGTTTTTTTATCTTGCATTTTCCTATCTTGTTGCATACAGACCTGAACTTTCCCCAAAGCACTTTAGACAGCGCAGCGGCAGTTTGGAATCTCAGCCGAACCAACAAGATGAGACTGTGAGTGAAACTGCAGTATTCTCCCTCACGCCAGCCCAAAGAAGTAACAGTACAGAACTGCTGGACGATGGGTCATCCTACACCAGTCAATCGAGTGCAGAGTACTACAGCTCAACAAACAAACCTCACCAATACTACAGCACCATGACCGTGGGCTGTCGGTCAAGAGAAAGAAGAAGGCACAAGAAACCAAACATTTCCTCCGCAACTTCGGGGAGCATGCCTAATTTAGCACCTAAGGACGGGAGAAATGGAGTTTATCAAAACTCCCATAACCAACCTTCATCTGACTACTATATTCCAGGATATCAACCGTACAGTGACTTTGAACCATGTGGATACACGTATGAAAATGACACTGAAGGTCACTACAATGTCAAAGCCCCGTACAGATCATTGCATTCTGGTGCTGAATACTATAGAGGTTACAGCCACTTTTACCCGGACGAAACTGATAGCATGTCTCAGAATCCATATGCAACCCTAAGGAATCCGCGTAGGGGAGGTGCTAAAAATGAACAAATCACCAAAAACATCCAGAAGGCCTTGGTAGCAGAAAGTCTTCGTGGCTGGTATGAGCGTGCCTCGACGCACAGGGATCACAGCCTGCAGGCAGGCTTGGACTCATACAGGGGCTCACAACAAAGTCTGGGTTTTACTTATATGCAAGGGCCATTTTCCACAACCAGCAGAGCTACAAGCTTTTCATCAGGTAGGTGAATGTCATGGAGTTGTTTTCCCCTCCATCAGGCATTTGATGCCATCATTTGTAGTCTAAGCTAATCTTCCCCATTGCCTTTTCTGAGCTCACATTCAATTCTATGAATTACCCATTTCCTCCTTTTATAGTAATTTTTGTTTTGCCCACAAAATACAAAGGCAGTCCACTTTACAGTGTATCCTGCAAAGCGCTTTGATACATCCCAACAACGTCATAAGTTGCTGTATCAAATGCAAGGATTGTTATTTTGCTACCAAATTGGTTTCCCATGTTATACTTAATTCTTTTTCTGCCCTTTATCTTTTTAAAAAGTAGCAATGTTGTAAAGTAGCAATGATTATAAATTTTACATTCTTCTAAAATATATTAATCAGGAGGGGATGTTTTTGCTATTTTTAAACTGCAAATGGAAAGAATGTGAAAACTCTAAAAGGACTCCTTCAAGTGAAGAAACATCAAGTCTGTGTTGTCTTTTGGTTAATGTTTAGGTTCTTTCTTGTCGGGTAATGGGTGCAAGTCCATTATGCCACAGTTCTATTTTATTGCAGTGAAAGCTCTTAGCTGATCCAAATTAACAGCAGAAGTTGCAATGATAACTGAGAAGTAGGTTGAAAAGTAGTGCGGAAATTGAACTCAAAAAGTATCATCATTGATTTTTAAAAAAAGGGACAGGCAACTTAATTAGATACAGTGAAGGAAAAGAGCAGAAAATTTATATGATATTGCTGGGTGGGAAAAAAAAACCTGGGCTTTATCTACATTGATATGTTCATGGCCCTGTTTTAAAGCTCATTATGGAAGCATTTGTGTCTGTGCTAGATTTAAGAGATTTGACATATCCATAAATTCCGTTCACGTTATTGTGTCTACCTGAAGTGCTTTATCCGGATCAGGATAATTTATGATTTAATGTGGATAGATTTCAGAAGAATCCAGCCAGCTACTATTGATAAAGATCAACAAAAATACTGCCCAGACAGGGAAAACGCAATGAACTGCATTGGAAGTAAATTAAGACAGTAAATTAATGTATGTATTTGACTGGTTTTAAGGACAGAAAATGCTTGTCTTGGAATTCTGCAGTGTTTGAGAAGCTATTGTATTCAATAGTCTATTCATACTATACTTGAAATCTCTTCTGATCACAGACTCCAGCTCAGAAGAGGGCTATTAAAGTTTAATCGCTTTGTTAATGACTGGTGAATACAGGGCAACCCCATTATAACATGACAGTCCAGGTTCATAATCTGAAGCAAAACAAGGCATGCCAAGCCAGTTTATCAAACTTGCAGTGTAGCACCAGCCCACAATATGCCAGCATTATAAATGCTTTCAACTGGGTACGTTCTGAGAGGGTTGCCTTGTTACGTAATATGTGGATGTGACACAGTGAAGGTAGTGTCCACAAATGCAAACTAGAATTGCATAGCTATTTTGCCAAGAATTGTATTGATAAATAGTCTATTATATGCTCTCTTTTAACTTTCAGATTGTCCTTTAGATCACTGTGGTCTTTGCTGGCCCTGTACAATCATACTTTCCTATAATCTTTCAGTAAAAATAAAGCATCACTAGATGTTCCAAAATATTGATATTAATAGTTATAATTTCTATCCTAGTCTCTTCAGCAATTAGCACAGGAACCTGGAGGAGCCAGCACACTATGGGTCTTCAAGAATATGATCCAGTACCTTATACAAGCTCTTTCAATAGCACCTACAGCAATACTGCACGACAGAGCAGGTGAGTGTCAGGAATGTCTGCAGAAAAAAGCAACCTGCTTAATACTGTTATCATGAAATGTCAATGTAATTTGGTTCACGTGTGTTCACATCGGGAATTTTTTTTTTTTAAAAAGACTACAAAATGTAACGTTTTTGAACAATTGCTCCACTTCCAGAAGCCAATTTCAGCCTAACCCATGTTTTATTGCATGTTCATGCTAAAAGTCTGCTTCAGTAAATATTTATCTCTAAAAAAAATTTTTTTTTAAAAAAAAGTAGAAACCTGAATTAGCAATGTCAGCTTTAAAATGTGCTTATATCAGTAGAAATACCTGCCATGTTACCGATCTGANTTTTTTTCTGCAAATAGGTTAAAGGGAAACATTACTATAGGATGAGTCTTTTGGTTTAAAGCACTTTTCCCTCTTGCATTATTAACTCCTGTAGATCTGAACACTGGAGGAGAAGAAAATGAACATTTCTCCTGACGGCCCTCCTCCCCCGCATGGAGAAAGGGTAGTGATTTAAAACACTCCTCTTTTACAATCATTTTTCTGTTGGAAGAAAACTGCCTTTAATTATTGTATCCCGTTTCTGCTGCTGTATTTCAAAACTGGTCCGATTTGTGTTTTGCATTTCAGAGTGTAAAAAGGTCAAACTCTGCATGTTTAATCATGTTCATTCTGCCAAACCTGCCTTGATTACACACCAGTGTGACTAGATTAACAAACTATAGGTAGATTTTTGTCTTTGTATCACCAAAATGGTACTTGAACTTTGGTTGGTGCCTTCTGCACAGGAGTAAAGTTCTTGGAAGCTTGACTGGTAGTGACACATGTTCATACTGTACCACATTGCTCCTGGAGTCCAGTTGCATTTTTATTAAAAGCCGAACACACACTGCAGCAAATCAACATAGGAACAAACAATTGAAAATCATCTTTGAGCGTAAGGTGACACCATTTGAGTCAACGTGGTCTATTGTTAATATTTTCACAATAAATCAAGAAAACTTTACCTTAATGTAATTTTTTTAAATTGCCTCTGTAAAAGAAGCAGGGATTAGAGTGATGGTAACTGATGTAATGTTTTGAGTAAAGTTTATGGATTTTTTTGATGAGCTAATAGAAATTGATATCGCACCTGATAGAAATTATCCAGTATCCTAATTGTATCATCCCATCATGAGTCACATACACACACCCAAGACATTGTATTGATCTTTCAAGCAATAGTAATTTTTTATTAGACAGTAAATAAAACTTTCAATGTCTGAGAGAGTAAATGAACTCCAAAGTGTACTGTCGAGCCTCTTAGAATGGGAAAATCCCACGTTTAAACATCACTCTGTACTAAGTTGGTTAAGACAATGTAAGGAAATGCTATAATTGACTTCAGCCAGACATTCATTTCCTGAGTGACGCACTGTAACCCTTGCTGGATAAGTGCATGTATGTGGAAATAGCGACAACCAGATCAGCCCCAGGTGGGCTCACAGTTGAATAGTCTCTTAACACTCACTATTCAGGCTTGAACATGAAAAATGCCCATGTGGGTAAGGTAGGAAAGGACTGATGACAACTGTGGAGTTGTTCCCCAATAAAATTTCACGGCCTTGAGAAGAGGAGGAAATTGACAAGGGGAATATCTAAATAAATAACAATTTCTTATTTTGCTTGTCGGTCATTTTTTTTGTTTTGTAGGCGTAGTTCCTGCATCTCCTTTGACGATCCTTTTTCTGCTGAGTTCCACCATTTCCTTGCCGTTGGTACCGCTCCTACCAGACACTCGTCTGCCTCTTCCTCCACCTTTTCCTCCGCTTCTTCCACTTCCTCTTTTCCTCACAAAGAACAGGAGAGTTTACCAATATTTTCTGAGCACAACCAGCACCATATCTACAGAAACGAAATATTCATTAAATACTCAAATTGAAATTGTAGTCAGCGGTAGTAAGTATGCTCACATGAGTGTGTGTGTTTGTGGTGGCTGATAACTTTTGCTGTTTTGCTAACAAAAAGCTTAGCAAGCTGAATTGGTTCCTGTATCGATTTTTTTATACGGATAATTAAAGCAATGTGTAAAACGTGCTTTAACAGCTTGTTGCAAAATATAATCTTGAGTTCTGCATCAAGATGGTGAAACCCTAATACATTTCCTGTGTTGCTGCTTGAACAAATGGGTAAATTGAAGAGTTCTGAAACCCAATCCTGAAACGCTGATATTTTATCTAAAGACTGTTTTCTCCTTGACTGTTACTGTTGAGTTCTGAAAATGTCCGCAATTAAATTATGTCCATATGAAGATGTATTTGAGATGTTGAAAAAACCCCACCAGTTTAGTTTTCAAATCCAATTTCTCTATTGAATGATTAACATCTCCATGCTAAATTACTGCATTGTGTCTTGGCAGCAAGATCCTCGCTCTTTTGCTCTTTGCCTGTATGTATTGAGCTATTAACCAATAAATTGCGTAACCTGTAGCTGTAGAAAGCTTATGAGTCTTGTGCAACTGTTCAAATATATAATCGATTAATAATAAAAAGAGGCTTGTCAGTTATTAAGTTTCCTTTAATTCATAATTATTCACTTATTTTGTAAGTATAAGTGAAGCAGTATTTCCAGTAACAACCTCTTCTCTATCCAGTTTTGTTTGCGTTTTAAGAAGACAATTTTCTCTAATAATAATAATAATACTAATGAAGAAGATTGAAACTTTTATGTGATTTCTCAAGCTCCACAGACTACCCTGTTATGAAGTCTGTATTCCATCTATGGAGCGAGCACTGTTTTGGCCTGTAATAAAGTTATCAGTGACCTTGTTTGGCAACATCAGCAGCATTTGTACAACCCTAAACAAAAATTATTCACCCTGAAAATTCTACTGATGTGTATGAGACACAATTAAGATGCTTAACCAGAGATGTGCATGAACAGCTCTATCAAGCTTGGAGAGCTGAGTGAATATAAAAAGCTGACAAGCCTCAGACTTATAGGAGATGCTGGAAGTTTAATTACTAAAGTGAATAGAGCACTTAATTTGAAAGTTGTTTTCCCACACTTCCCTTCACTATTGTCCTCGTGCAGTCTCATCAGTGCATGATCTAATATGAGCTATGATAGCACAGGGCACGATTGATTGTGACAGCCATGTCTTGCTCCTATCTGCAGTATTTCACATCTCAAGACCTTGGTACAATTAGTATCCAACATGGCACTGGAGTTCCGTAAAGGCATCATCCGACTTACAAACTTTCCACCAGTGAAAGGAATACAACCAATAACATGAATTCAGCTTACGATAGCCAGGCCATGCTGAATGTCCCAAGCCACTGTCAAAGATGTCTTTTTGGGTCTAAATCATTTTTTTTCCTGTAAGATTGGTGGCCGAGTTCTCAGCCATTCTATCCCTGTTCTCTGGAACTCCCATTTCAGATTTCATGTCATTTCCCTTTCTTGTTGCCTTCAAAATCCATCTTAAGATCTATCATTTGACTGTTCCTTCAACCACTTCCCCCACCCCTCACTACCATAACTACCAGCTTAGGCTCACAGTCAGTTGTTAGGATAGCTTACAAAATAGCTATAGACCTTCATTCAAAAAAAGGGAATAAGCTTGCTAAACTGCACTGCATTTTGTCACAGCAAAAGGTATTCAATGAGAAATAAAAGAGGACCGTTCTAGTTTATGTGGAGCATATGGGAGAATATGTTTTCTTAAACTAACTGGAGGTCCTGTTCCTGTGAACTTCCGGCAGTGGAGATTACTTAGAAACTAAAGTTGCAGTAAAGATGAAATTTGCTTTAATGCTTTTAAATTCAGATAATCTCTCAATTTAAAGTTTCTTCTGGGGTTCTTTACAATCTTTTTAACAGCATTTTGTTACAAAATATTTCCTAGACCTTATCCAGAAAGAACATACTTGGACAACGCAGACCGTGGCAGTCAGCTCGAGGAGGATCTATATGACGACGATGGTGATGATGATGATGAAGATGAAGATGATGAGCAAGTGTTAATGTGGCATGCGGACGCTAAGCCTGGGACACTGGTTTAAGTGACTGCCGGACAACTTTCAGCCTTTATTCAACATATCAATAACTTACTGTGTGTGCCTTGCATCTTTTGCCATCTATTCAAAAAGGTTTAATTCCACAAATGGGAACCACACTTGTACATTGCATTGTTTGCAGGAGATACTGTACCTGAAATGACAGAAAGCGTCTGACCAACTTGGTTTTTAAGAGCGTTTGCTTTACATATCGAGTTGTAAATTTAAATGCAATTTGAAATATAGGGTAAAATGCAGTGAGTGGATTACTTTATTATTGAATTGATAGTGCAGATAGATGTCACTTTGAATAAGTTTTTGATTTTTAAAAAGAATTAAATACTGTGAATGCAGCTTTCAAAATACCGTGGAAGTAGATGCTCTTTGATGTCAAGCAATTTCTGCAATTCAGGTCCTGTGATATAAAAAGAAACTACATATTTTGTGCTGCGGAGAACATAGGCTAGTGAAGAAAAGGATATATACCTTGAAGGCTAAAGTGAGTTTTTCACATTTTTAAATGAAGGATGATTTTGTGTTTTGATGGCAAGAAACTGGTGACTGTGTTACAGATCAGTGGACTTTGGAGTTTTGCTCGAATGAATTGGTGGAATTAGTGCCAATAAGTGATGAGAAGTGCATTTTGATAGAAATTGTGATGGTGTATTGTCTGCAAAAGGCAACCATTGTTTGAAACATTACTTTGGGTAATTTGCCTAATGTTGCTTTGCCAACACGTTTATTTAAAAGGAAGAAAACAACTTGGACCTGATGATCTAGCTTAGATTAGTGACCTTTATTCGAGGACCTCGGAACACTTACTGCATAGAAATAAATTAGCAAAAATACAATTAGATTGTATAGGTTATAGATGAGCCTCCGAACTGTATCGAAAAGAGTATGTGGAATAAAAAATTCATTTATTTTTTTTAAAAAAAGCACAATGCCAGATCATTGAAAAAATTGGCTAGTACTGTTGTAAAATCCAACGTTTTTTTTTAAAGTGATCATTCAGTTTATACAATGCAGATCTTGGCTGGCTGGCCCAGTGTTGGTACAATTTCTGCAATTCAGGTACTGTACTCTGCTCCTGAACCAGATGGATCAAATTATCTCAACACATATTAGTGATTCCCATTATTTTCAATGGGGATTTAAAGCCATTTTTGATTATGTTAAATGAAAAACGATTGTATGGCATTTACATCAAATGATGAGTATGTTACTTTGGGCCACAGTATGAAAGCAGCAAATGGCAAGCTGGGTAAATGTGTGGTGTGGTTCTGAGCCATGTTCCAGGTCCCAGGTTCAATCCCTGATCCATCCCGAGTCACTTGATCTCAACCGAAGCAACAGTAGGCTGCTACAATGGCCTTGGTGCCCCTGGTCGTGGGGGACGAAAAGGCAGTGTTCCCACTCCTGCCCAGTCAGCCTGAGTTGCCAGAATCAGGAGGGGAGAGGGAGCAAATGACATTGACGTTTCCACAAATTATGTAGGATATTGCTCCCTTCATTCTTTCTTCACTTGAAGGCGACTCCCTTGAGGCTACAGCTATAATGGTGAGGACAAAGGAGTAGTAGCTGGCAAGTTCTGTTCTGAACTTTATTAAAAAGTTGTGTTGGCAAAGGTAATAAAATGGAACATCTCCACACAGGATTATACCTGTGCAGTCAGTATACGTGGACCTGTTAATAATGTTTTTCATAAGATGAAGTACACATGAGGGTTACCCTTACCTCACATTATTTGGAAAACCCACACATTCACCAGTGTTGGCCTCGGGTGCTTTTATTTTTGTGGCATTTATACAATGCATGGAGTTTACAAGTTGATGTTTTAAAGACCTGGCCATTTTCTTCCAAGTTCTGATGGTGAATATGTGCTTCCCATGCTGGAATCCATGGAAAGGTGCTGTAATTTCCTTATTTTAAACAAGGAAAATGTTACAAATTTTGTTTCATATGTAAAATTTCTGAATGACTGTTTTTTGTGGGCATTTTTATTGTTGTTCTAAAGCATGTAATATATAGTAAACTAATTTGGTAAGCTGGTTCTTAGTCATTTTTTTATTCATTGAAAAATATCTGAATTCATGGTGGGAAAATTGTGGGAGGGAGGGGAGGGGTGGTCAGGAGAAAGAGCTTTTAACTTATTCTTTTGCATATTTGTACAGCTTTACCTGGAGAGATGTTTTTGTGTATGCCTTTACATAACACTCCTGTTTTTACTTGTTAATGTAAAAACATGCTTTAAACAGGAGACCAATAAAATAGTGTATGTAAATCCTTAAGTTCTATGTTTTCTGTAGTTACAAGATGCAACTCTGCAAATTGCAGACATCATCAATGGACCTATTCCGATTCTCATCTTGACAAGCTGATTAAAGCAATTTTACAGAAGGGTTCAATAAGCAACAAGCAAGAGTGGAACCTGACTTTTTTAAAAACCTCCCTACCCTCGTTTGAAGCTTTCTACCCCAAGTTGTCTCAGAATTTTATCTTTCACTGCATTAAAATTCTTTCCAGAAGTACATTCCTTGGAATGGTAATATAAATTTTACAGCATTCTTGTTTTTAGACCTCTGGGCTGCTACATCAAAAAGACTGTAAAGATTTGTACAAATCTGTAGTTCGTTTGATTTGGCACTTAAGGTAACTATCATTCAGCAATATATTGCTGGGTAGATTGAGGAATGTATGCGTGCTGGTATGAACATGCAACAGTGGAAAGTGGATGGAATGGAAAGAAACACTTTGCAGTATTAAATGGAAGCTGGACTACATGTTTATAACCTTGGGTATTCTCTATAATTCATAGGTTGTTGCTTATTGCAAGTTCAGAGACGGCATGACTTTAATCCTTTATGGATCTGAGCTCCTGGGGATGCAGTGGAGAGGCTTCCTCTGACCCATCTGCAAAGTCCAGGATCAGGCAGCGAGGTTGATTTGTGGCAAACACGGGAAGCAGCTACAGGGATATCAGAATCAAGCAGACATCTCTGTAGCTGCTTTCCAGAATTAAGTAAGCAGGGAGAGAGTGCACTTTCCATTCCAACAATCTATCTCTGGGATTTCCAAGTGTAGGTGTGATGAATGGAAATCTCAGCTTGGTTTGGATATTGTTAAGCACGGTGATGGGTTTCCACATGTGTCAAGACACCCGGCTGACCAAAACAAAATGACTATGGCAGTCTTTGCTGTGGTGATTCCCTTCAAATACTTAATACGGTTGGTGAAGAACTGTATGGATTGCACATTTACATTTCAGCTTGCAGTATTTAAGCTAAGGCCTTGCTATCCCCGCATTTTAATTAATAGACAAGACAGGCCTGTTCCTTCTTTAGTAAATAGCAAAATATACTTCTGGCCATAAACAAGCTGCCCCAAAAAACTCAGTTGGTAATGGGAGCTCTTGTTGCCAGATAATTTACATGTGTGTTGTCTGCAATCTGTGAAATATGATCTGATCATAATAATCATAAATAAAATTTGTCAATGAAGAACCTACATACCACTTCAGAGGATAGATTTTATCAAATTCAAGCGGAAAACAGTAGATATTGGTCTTAGTCCCTGTTTTAGGGATTAATTTAGCCTTTTATACACGTCATAAAGCATGTCTGGTGCTTTTTGGCTCCGAACTCTGTTTTTCTGTATCTCACCTATCTATACAGATGTTTTACTTGGAGCTTTTGTGTTATGATCTGGATGCTTCTGGCAACCAAACTATTTTCTCATAACTGCTCAGTGACCTAGGGCTACTGCAGACATCTGTTCTTGACCACATAGAGCATAATATGCTCAGTGGTGTTCAAAATCTTTGCAGGCAAGTCAGGCAGCATGACACAGGACTACAGTGACACTTGATTTCCTTCACTGCTGCATGATGTACATATATATTCAATTCAAATTACAGCTGGAGGCTATTACATGTTGAGATGGTGCTATTCATTTAACGCAACCACATTTTCACAAAACAAGGACGGATTTATTTTAACTTCAGGTTGAAATCAAGGTTATTACTGAAATTCTGAAATATCTGGAAAAAATGGAAATTAATTACATTTAAAATACAAGCATGATATTTTGCTGAGTTCAGATCGGACCTAGCAAATGTAATACTGCATTATCAAAAACTCATGTATTCCACAGGTCAATGATGATTTATTTAATGAGAACAGCAATATAAAACCTGGTAATGCAAAAATATCTCGAAAGGCTCATATCTGTCTAACTTCTAATAGATGCTGCATACTAATCCATGCATTTGATTACATAATAGCAGCATAATGGCTACCAAACAAACAGAGGAACCAAAGAAGGAGTCTGTTGAGCTTGTGTAAGTCGAAGTCAAATGCATATACTGAACCAGGATCATCTTTTAAAGGCAATTAGATAGATGCTTGAAAAAGCATATTACACACTAATAAGTGAACAAGAGAGGGTGTTTGGCAGAAAGCCTTCCCATTACAATGTAGATACCCATGAACTCTTAAGAATAAGATCTCTAGAGGAGAAACGCCAGCCGGCACTTCAATGTGCAAAAAGCCACTAAATGGGTAGGAAAAATAAATAAAATAAAATCATATTCTCATGCCAACTTTGGAAATCAAGTTATACAAAGTTCTCAGTAACTCCTCTCATTACCTGAAGTGCCTCAAAACTGACATCCATAATCTATGGTTTGTATTGAGTTCAAGCATTTGTGGGGAAAGCAATCGAGTACCTTAAGAAGAAGAGGTGCATAAATCCAAACTCCACACAATGAATGGCACCACCCAGATACAACAACAAATTGGATTTTATATAGCGCCCTCCACGCCGGACGGCGTCTCAGAGCGCTTCACAGTAACGAATCCCGGGGCCGAGCCAGGGGGAGGGGAAAGAGCCAGGAGGAGGGGGAGGGGGAGGAAG